ACCTCTAGGTCAAGGTGAGCACACATCCCTCTCTACCTAGGAGCTGAGGATAAAGGGGTAATAGTTACATGGCTCTTTATACATATGGCTGCACAGATCCAGTTTTCCAAATAATCATTAATTTGCTCTCCAAAAAAATGAACAATCTAGATATACTGCCCCTGGGGTTAGATTTAGTGAAAATAATTTCCTCTTTCAAATCTTTACTCCTTCTGCCTGTCTATGAAAAAGAATACAAAAGTAGCTAACATTGACTGAGTACCTGCCATAAACCAGGCACTGAATTAGGCTATTGACATGTATCATTTCTAATTGTCATAGAAAACTCTGCAAGATCTGAATTTTCATTCACATTGTACATGTAAGGACACAGCTTTGTGAGGTTAGTGAACTTGCCCCAAGTCAGTTAGCTGACTGGGCTGGGATTTTAATAAGATATCCAACTCCAAAGCGTGTCACAAATTCATGGATCCGTTTAATCTGTGTGAATTTCAGCACATCAAATTATACCACCCTCCAGAGTGAAATGTCCACTTTGACATTTAAAGAACCACCCCTAGAAAGTGATAGACAGATGTGTCATGAAGCATCAACTTGTGTTAATGAAAATAATTTTAAACCATACAAATTCCTCTTTGGCATCCAAGAGAAACACGCATCATTATCAAGGTATTTCCCCCAACCAATCTCTTTGATCTCTGCTATAGATCAGAACTCTCCAGGGTAGAAGGTGGACCTGCCCACCCTCACAGGGTCTCAGAAAGCTTGCCTGAGAACTTAGGAACTTCAGGTTTGGTTTCTGGCTCCTCAAGACGCCAGAGAGTTGTTAGCATCACATGCCAGAGCTGGCACAAGAGAGGGCATCCAGAAAGCCGAGCAGCAATCAGCTGGCCCTGCTGGGCAGCATAGCACAGCAGTTACGTGTGCCGTCTTTGCATTTGAGGCCCAGACCTGTCACTTCCATTGCTGATGCCAGGCATGTTTCTCTGCCTAAGTCCCAGTTTCCTCATCAGGAAAATAAGGCTAATTATGACCTGCCTCCTATGGCAGTTGTGAGGATTAAATGAGATGACATGTGCATACTGCCCAGTGTATGACTTGCACAAGTAAATACTGAACAAAAGTTAGTCGTTTAATTGTGTTGTTTTTGTTAAATGTGTCAGGACAGCAATTGCATTTAAGAGTCCACCCTCTGCTTTTCAAGCACCACATTAGCGCAGTGAAATTCACAGCACCTACTATGTGCCAGGCATTGTGCTGGACATTGAGAGGTACAAACATAAAGAAGGCACATCCTTCCCTTCAAGTAACTTCCATTCCAGTGCAGAGAACAGACACTGAAGCTAGTCATCAAAAGGTGGCTAATGAGTCGAATGGAAGTACAGACTTTCGGTGCCATGTGAGAGAAAGCTCAAGATAGCAATTTCCTGTTCTATGAGCTTGTTGACTCACTGGTTTCATGAGTCCCTGAAAGCTTTCTGGAGGCAGGGTCTGAGTGACCGTCAGTGATACATAAGGGCTAGTCAAGTCATTGAAGGTGGAAAATTCTTGGCACAAAGGCATAAAACAGCTGGGCTTATTCCAGAACTGCAGGCTCTTAGGCCATTGGCACAGGTCTTGAAAGTATCCCCATAAGGCTACACTATTTGCCTGGCTTATTTCCTATGTCTTTGCCCAGAGTACAAGGACATTTCCACTTGAAAACAAACTTCTTAAACTATGTACACCACTCAAATTCAGCATGGTCTCTATTCAGCTCAGCCATAATCAATATCACTGCAGTCATGCACCTTTTCCCAAGGAGAGGGGTAAATGAGATGGCCTCTTGCTTAGGGTGGTGGTTCTCAGCAGCAGCTCTACTGAAATTTAGGCTTGAGAATTCTTTGTGATACATTTGTCCTGTGCACTGTACGTCTAGCAACCAGGCCTCTCCCCTCTAGGTGCCAGTAGTACTCCTCCATCTATGACAGCCAAAGATGCCACCAGACATTGCCATATGTTCCCTAAGGGGAGGGGGGTTTGCCCCCACTAAGAATCATGCCTTGATTGCCATCTAGAGCCACCCTTTCCTGCCCACGTCTTTTCCAAGAGTTGTTGAAGCTGTCACCATTTGATAATGTCCCCATTGGATTCCAAGGGTATCAGTTTGTCCCCACCATATCTCCAATGGTTTCCTAGGAGATCAACATGGCTTCAGCCCTCCACCTGGGCTGGAAGTGTTAGTGGGGATGTGCACCATGCAGTTCGCATCCCAGAAGGGCTTGCGAGGGATACAGATGAAATACAGATAAGAAGTGTGAAGAAGTGTTTTCAGAACTCAAGGGTGTTTTTCTCAGTCAGTCTAAGATTGTTGCAAAGTGTCCACATTTCTGGTCTTGGCAGCAGAAGGAGAATGTATGTGGGCCACAGTGTTGAGAAGACAGAAGGGGCAGCCCAAATCCCAAAAGATGGGATTTCTGATGATTGGCTAACAAAAACCCCACCCCATTCTAAGCAAAACAGAAAAGAATCATGTACAGATTTATCTACCACTCACTCCAACTTTTATCTGCAAACCTTCATCATCATCAATCAAGTCTGGATTATCCACAGGCAGATATTTGTGGGGGAGGGGGGCAGGGAATCCCTGATTTCTTTAACTACACCTTTGTGGCCATGTCCACATCACTGCTGATACTTGCTCTGGCTGTAGTCTGCATCCCAGAAAGAGATAGAATGAAATAACCTGAAATCTAAAAACACCTCATTCTCCTTAACATCAAGGGCTACATGAACCAGTATGTCAACAAGCTCATAGAACAGGAAATTGCTATCTTGATCTTTCTCTCCAGTTGGGGTGCAGAGGAGAGCATGGGCTGAGAGGAATGGGTGGAATAGGAGTTGGATGGAAAGAAAGGAAACCTGGGACTGAAGTGGAGAGAGGACAGGACTTGTTAGTGGGCTGGAGAGGGAAATTCACCATGGTGCCCAGGTACTACTCCTGGCTGACTGCCCTCTGCTCCCTGACTCTAAATGCTGGGCGCCCTTGGAGGTCAGCCTGGGCCCTCTTCTCTGTCTCTGAGAGAGCCCACCAGTTCCCATGGCTTTAGAAAGCCCCCTGACCATCCTTATGCTGATGATGTTCAGATGGGGTCTCCATGCTGACAGGCCTCCCTTCTGAACCCACACATCCCCTCTGTAGTCTGCATTTCTCCTCTTGGCTATCTCGGGAGCAGCTCAGACTTGTCTAAAGCAGAGTTCCTGAGGTTTCTTCTCAGACCTTCCCACCCTTTCCCTTCTCCTCTCACCTCCCCAGACGTATCACCAGCCTCCCATTTGCTCCCACTGGAAAACTGGGCACCATGGTGAATCTCGCCTCTCCAGTCCACGAACAAGTCCTGTCCTCTCTCCACTTCAGCCCTGAGTTTCTTTTCTTCATACACTTATCACAACTCAGAGTTATTTTATGTGTTTGCTTACTTTGTTGTTTTGGCTCCATTACTAAAATGAGAGCAGGGGCATCACCTTACTGCTGTTCACTGATGTACCTCCAACATTTAGTCTGGTGCCAGAGAGTAAACCCTGAATGATACTGGCTGAAGGAAGGATGTCACTAATAACAACTTTGTCCCAGGTTAAACAGCTGTCCCGTGACTGGTCTGGCAGGTTCCTACAGGGCCAGCCCTCTGCACTGGGGCAAGCACTGACTCTGCCCCCCATCTCTCCTGTTCCCAGAGGGATACCAGCCAGAAAAGGCAACTTCCTACCCAAAAATGAGGTGATAGCTACCAAGTCCCCCTCTTTCAAAGACCTTTCCCAGGAGATCAGGGCAGCGCTGTTATGTATCACTCTGCCAGCTACAGACATGGGATTTTCAAACCCCAATTGCTGGTTTTCTTTATTTTAATATTGCTCCCCTTCTGTGAAATAAATTCAGCTTTGGCCTAAGATGGAAATACTCCTTCCCTGGCATGGCCTGGCCAAAGGTTTCTACTCTGCCTATGCATTCTGTCAGTGCCCAGGCAGCCAGCCATGCCTGGAGGGCCATAGATCCAGCCTCAAGACAATGTGGGGAGGTGGTGGGAACTCCAGACTCGGGGTACTTGGGTGTACTCCCAGCTGAGACTCTCACGTGCAAGCCACTGTACCTCTATGAGCCTGTCTTCTCCTTTGCTAATAAAGTTCTTAGACTCCTAGCCCCTGAGTCCCTTTCTAGCCATGACCTTCCAAATAGCTCTCCCATAGCCAACTGCCACTTTATCGGGCTTTCTGGTACAGGGCAGATGCTAGGAGCACCCATGGCTGCCACATACCCCCACAGGCCCGAGTGCATGCAGATGGTGCTCAGGTGTAGGATGTTTTCTGAGGGGTGTTAATAGCTATTTACCCAGAAGGGGGTGGAGGGCCTCTGTGGAAAGTGCCAGGTTAAAGATAGCTAACAAGTATGTTTTGCTACAAGACTTCTCAGAACCTCTACTGTGTGCTCCAAATAAGGAAGATGTACTGGACAGAGAACCCTTTTTTACAGAGCTCCTCAGCAGACTGGGGTTCCATTGGTCAGACTTTGAGATAAGTGGCTCCTGGGCCCTGGAATTCTAGCAGCTCACACTTTCCCAAATGCACTGTATTGGAGGAAAAGCTTTCAGAATGTCAGCTGGAGTGGGGACCAGTGCCAAGGAAAGAAATTCTCTGTCCCCAAGCCCCCTTCAGCAGCTCAAGGCCCCCAAGCCTCCTCCAAATGAAAGAAGGCAAGAAGGACATGGCTCTCCCTCTCTCCCTAAGAACTATGAAGCCACACAGCCTCTTGAAGTGTGCTCTACCCTCCTCCCAGTGCCCAAAGAATAAAGGAACAACCAGCGCCCATTTCCATCCCATACCACGGGCAGTAGGGAGTAAGTGCCTTCCTTTCAGGGCAATCATACTCCAGCTGTTCTGTGGATGGCACAGCCCACACAGGACAGGAGGAAAGAAGACAGTCTAGAGGGGAGAAGGGCGTCCAGAGAGGACTCAGAGGCCTGATGTGAAACACAATGCACTTTATTGGCGACAGAATGGGCGGGCAGAGGGGCCTGTGTATTATATACATCAGATCTATGGTGCCATTCCACCCAGGAAGGGGAGCCCAAAGGCAGCAGAAGGTGGTGGCTGACACCGCACTTGGACAATCACAGGCACAGGCTGGAGTCAGAGCACACTGAAATTCTCACGTCTGTGCTGGCCAGGGATCTGGATGGGGCTCAAGAGGCCCGGGTCTTCCAAACCCGGGAGAGCGGTTGGAGGAAGAGGAGCAGTGGCTGGGGCCTGGCGCTGAGGTTGGGGGTGCTGCGGGATTGGAGGAGCGGATGGGGACGGGAGGCGCTGGCGATCTGCGGGGACCATGCGCCTGATTTATCTGGAGCAGTACTGAGAGGACTGGGAAGACTGGGAGAACTTCACGCTGCCACACCGGGCGCTGCCCGAGCTGAAGCCTCCGCCGCTGACCCCGCAGCGACCCCCAGAGCCGGAACCAAAGCCGCTGCCGCCGCCGAGGCCGCTGCCACCGCCAAAGCCGCAGCTGCCGCCGAAGCCGCTGCCGCCGAAGCCACTGCCTCCTGACCGGCCAAAGCCGCCGCCGGCGCCCCCTGCCATGCCAAGGCCGCCGCCGTAGCCCCCTGCCGAGGAGGTGCCGCTGCTGACCACGGCTGCAGGACGGAAGACAGTGTTGTGGTCAGCGCCCAGCGCACTGTGCCGCAATTAGTCATCGCTGCGCCCAGTGTGAGTGGGAGGCCATCGAGGCAGCTTTGCTTCAGATGACGTTGTGAAGCATTCTAAGGTGTCATAAGGTGTTCACCCCATACTGTTAAGTCATTATGAATTTTTCAATGGTTTCTTTTGATAAGGTCACCTCTTAATGATCCCCTTGGAGAGTATCCAAAATTTCTCCTCGCATTAACAATATTCCCATGGCCATGTAGACCTATTATTCATGCCCAGAACCCAGAGCAACTACAAAAGCAGATGTGTGGCCCTTCCACCCCGAGAAAACCTCTCCAACTTGCATAGATACATTTTTGAATTAGTTGCTACTGCCCTGTACTAGCACAGACCCTCAGAGTCAGTGCCCACTGTGATGGTTGCTTCGGCTACTTACAGATGCTGACAGCACTCTGGCACTCTCCAGACAGTCTGTATAAGAGAAAGCAAGAGAGAAATAGTTCCATCACAAGGCAGATTTCTAGCAAGCCTGTGGGTGAGGGTGATGAGGAACAACCAGAAATGGATTCAGAAGCCTGGCAGAACAGCAGCCCTTCTCTGCCCTCCCACAGGTCATAGCAGAGCCCTGTGCACATAGGCTGGATATGCACTTTGGCTGCCTATGAAGAGAGTGGGCTGGTAAAGGCCCAGGCTTCTCTGTAAGGCCTGGCAGATGTAGGGACCTCTCTCTATACAGCAAGCCTCCAACCCCATTTACTCAGTCACTTATCTGATTCTCAGCATGTGACTTGTGCCAGGGAAGGTGGGAAGATGAAATTTGAGGCCCACCTGCACTCCTCGCCCTCCAGCAGCTTGCGGTAAGTGGCGATCTCCACATCCAGGGCCAGCTTGACATTCATCAGCTCCTGGTAGTCACGCAGCAGCCGGGCCAGGTCATCCTTGGCCTTCTGCAAGGCAGCCTGCAGCTCTTGGAGCTTGGCATCAGCATCCTTGAGGGCTGTCTCCCCACGCTGCTCGGCTTCAGCTATGGCTGCCTGCAGGTTGGTATTCTGTGGCAGGGAGGTAGGGAAAGAGATGAGCCCAGTAGGAGGGTCCCAGATTTATCAAGTCTTAGTGTGGATTATGCCATACCAAGCATCTTAAAGTCAGCAGCATCACCCCTTCCCTAGCACCTCTATCCTCCTCCATGGAGATGACATAGTTCTTCTGTGGACTACCAGCCATTGAGATTGGCTTGTCTTTGAATTTCCTGGAGGCCATCCTACCTGAGATGACCTCAGAAGTCCATTCCAGACTAGGGGTCCTGAGATCCGAGCCCCTTCCCCTCTCACCAATCACCTGAGGCACCAAGCAACCATTGCTTCCCACCTGCTTCTTGACATTTTCAATCTCAGCCCGCAGCCTCTGGATCATCCTGTTAAGCTCCATGATCTCACTTTTGGTGCTCTTCAGGTCATCCCCATGCTTGCCCGCCGTGGTCTGCAGCTCCCCCAGCTGGAGAGTGGTGGGGAAGAGGGGGTGTTGATGCAGCCTTGTCTACCTTGCTTCTCTGTTCCTAACATCACCCACCCAATCTCGAAATGCTTAGTAAACATTTCTTGTTAAAACGATGTTGAATTACATTTCAGCAGGGACACCTCTGGGGTAACAGGGAAGAGAATATCTGGGTTGTCATGGTAGAAGATTCTCCCACCCACATCCTGAGCAAGCTAGGACCAATCCCATGTGGCCTGGCAGCAGACAATGGAACCACCTCCCCACAGGGGGCAGCACTTTCTGCAACTGTACAGCCATTAGAGGGACATCTCCAGAGAGTAGAACCAAGAGGAGTCCACCCAGTGACCACAGAGGACTCCCCACCCAGCAGTCCCACATGCCACAGCCTCCAGAGGCCCTCAGTGGATCCCCTAAGAGGTGCCTAGCTCCCACCTTGGTCTGGTACAGGGCCTCAGCCTCAGCCTTGCTCCTCTGAGCAATCTCCTCGTACTGGGCCTTGACCTCGGCAATGATGCTGTCCAGGTCCAGGCAACGGTTGTTGTCCATGGACAGGACCACGGAGGTGTCACTGACATGGCTCTGCATCTGGGACAGCTCCTGCCAACACAGAAGGAACTGTTCACTCCTGGGGCCTCTGCAGCACGGACACAGAGGCCCAGAGGGGCTCCTGATCAACAGACCCATTCACTGACTCAGCTCTGAATGTGCATCTCCTCCCACCGCCCCCAGGCTCTCAGAGAACCCCATGTCTGCAGCCCATCCTGTGGATCCCTCACAACAGGCCTTATCTCTAGACTCAGTCTTCCAGGGCCCTAGATACCAAAATGACCCAGCCTAAATCTGAAAACATCTCACCCTCCCTCTGTCTCTCTCTTAGTAGGAAAGGACCTCACCATATTATAGAGACTTGTCAGGAAGTTGATCTCATCCACTAAGGCATCCATCCTGGCCTGAAGCTCCACTTTGTTCATGTAGGCAGTGTCCACATCCTGAGGAAGATGGAAGCATAAAGGCCTTCTTCCCCCAAGGAATGAGAACAACCAACTGCAATGGCAGCCAGAGAGTCAGAGGGCCAGGGCTGGCTGAGCAGGCCCTGTTCAGGGCTGGTCTCCACATGAGGGACTGAGCTACATCTCAGCAGGTGATGTTCAGTCCTACTCAAAAACTAAGAACAGCTGAACTGACTCTGTCACGGATCATTCCCAACTGAGATGCTCCCGGCTGCCGCTTTTAGCTCCAACTGCCCAAACTTGGCAGCTCCATGGCAGTGGAGTGAAGGGATTGCCCCAAACCAGCTGGAAGCTTACATCTACAAGCCCCGGGAACCTTACCTTCTTCAGGGTCACAAAGTCATTCTCAGCAGCTGTACGTTTATTGATTTCCTCCTCATATCTGTAAGAGTTAGAAAGAAATAGCTAAGTCTGAGTGTTGAGGTACTCATAAACACCCCTGTTCTCTGGTCATCCCTCTGGCCTTCTCCCAGCCTCTGAAATGAATACATCCCATTTGCCATCTCCCTAGTAGTTAGGAAGACCAGCTATTCCAATCTGTCCTGGCAGGCAAACTGTCCCAGTTTCAGCATTGAAAGTCCCATGTCCTGGGAAACCCCTCAGTCCCAGGCCAACGGGGACATTTTGTCACCACACCATGAGTTGCTCCAGCATTCTTCAGATCCTAGAACCAGGATCTTCCCCAACCTGGCTCATGGGGAGTGCTTCCTGAACCCTAACCTCCTCATCCCACTTGCCATGATTTTATTTGTAAAGAACTCTCCTCAGGGAAGGAAGGGGCAGGGGAACCTAGTGAACCAGGCTGTCCTCCATGGAGATGAGGAGAGGAAAACAGGCTACATAACACCACTGCCCAGGGGGCAGGAGGACCGGAGTAAGAGCTGGGTCTCTGAGACAGGGTAGCCCCCCGGCGCCTTCCCACTCGAGCTGCAAGCACTCACTTCTTCTTGAAGTCCTCCACCAGGTCCTGCATGTTCCTCAGCTCCGAGTCCAGGCGGCCTCGCTCCCCCAAGATGCTGTCCAGGTAGTTTCGCAGGGAGCTGATGTAATTCTCAAAAAGGGGTTCAAGGTTGTTGGGGCCTGTGGTGGAATTTGTGCCCTGCTGTTGGAGCAGGTCCCACTTGGTCTCCAGGACCTTATTCTGCTGCTCCAGGAACCGCACCTGCAATGCATTGGGTGAAGCCCCATCAGGCAACACTCAGAGCAGAGGAACAGATGGACCTTGGCTTAGTTAGGACTGAGTGTCTATATTTCCCCAGCCTCCAGGCCAAAGGCCTAGAAAAAATGGGAAGATAGGCTCCTACTGTAGCTGAAGAGGATATGGTCAGATGGCCACATCAGTCAGGCCACTAAAGATGCAGCATGGTTTGGAAAGGTACAGGAGAAGGAAAGATGGACAGAGAAAGTAGTCCTGCCTGGAAGCAGATGATCCCTCAGTGTTCCCAGGGACTTTGTGACTCTATCCCACCTTTCAAAACTAGGGTACACATTGCAAAAATGTACTTAAACCCCAGCCTCATCGCTTCCATCTAAGGCTCTGCTAACAAACACTCAGCCCTTCAAATGATGTTGAATTCTTGGGAACTGATACTGACTGAAGCACTGTCATCAGGGCACCCGGAGAGAGACAGCAGTGTGAGCTCTCCCAGTCGGGGGATCGCTAAGCACCCGGCTCTTCCTGACTGGGTTGATTAGGAATGCAGGCTGTTGCCAGCTTCTCTGCAGCCCCTTAAGACTAAGGCTTGCATAAGCCTCTTTAATCCCTTCTCTAGGGCATCACCCTCCTTCACTTGGCACAGCAACATAGAGGGAACAGGCCTCCTGGAGAGCCTCAGAGGGCAGCTCCTACTTAAAGAGCCCCTCGTTCTGGGTTACTCTTTCTTGCCAGTGGTCATAGCCCTTGCCATGCGCTGCTGGCACTGCCAGCCTAGACCTCGATTAGGCAACAAGTGGGAGACGTGAGTAGAGAGTCAGTCAAGCAGAACTTGGGCATGTCTGGGTCCAAATAGGGGCCCATTGTCTTTCCTACCCACGTGACCATGTGGATAAGCTCATCAGCCATCAACATCTTCCCAGGCCCTAGAGCTCAGCCTAACCCACCCCCTTCCAGCCCGGCCCGCCACGAATTATCCTAAACGCTGTTGTCTGAATATCAAACTCATAAAGTCCCAGCCTAGGAAGGCAGACCCAATCAGAGCTTCATTACCTTGTCTATGAAGGAGGCGAACTTGTTGTTGAGGGTCTTGATCTGCTCCCGCTCCTGGGCCTTTACTTGCCCAATCTGGGGGTCAATCTCCACATTGAGGGGCTGCAGGAGGCTCTGGTTGATAGTCACCTCATGGATTCCTCCAGGGAAGCCACCAGGGCCAAAGCCACCAGGACCTCCAAAGCCACCAGGACCTCCCAAGCCACCAGGACCTCCCAAGCTACCAGCTCCACCAAAGCCACCAGCCCCTCCAAACCCACCAGACCCACCAAAGCCACCAGTCCCTCCAAACCCACCAGCCGCTCCAAAGCCACCTCCCATTCCTCTGCCACCCCCAAAGCCACCTCCATAACCACCCCCAAAGCCAGCACCACAGCTGCTAAGCCCTCCCCCAAAGCCCCCGGCCCGGGCGCCCCCAGCCACGCTGATGGAGATGCTCTTGCTGCCGCCCAGGCTGTAGAGGCTGCGACTGCCAAAGCCGCCTGCTCCTCCCCGGACCCCACAGGCCCCGCCACCAGTGCCCCCAGAGCGGGCCATGCAGCTCATCCTGCTGCTGCCGGAGACCACGGCGGAGCGGCCGGAGAAGCCCTGGCTCCCGCCACCGAGGGCTTTCTTGCCGCCTTGTCTGTTCATGGTGAGAGAGCTTGGTGAAGGCAAAGGGCAATAGTTAAGCTGGGAAGGAAACTAAAGACCTGTGCAGAATAAATCCCTTTATATACATCTAGGAGCTTGCTGGGCTCAAATGAAGGAGAGGTAATTAATCCCAAATAGTAATGGGCTGGGTTTGCCTCCAAGGCAACAAGTTTGTTCCAGGCTACACAACACACCTTGAAAATAATCTGAATTGGTAAAAGTGCTAAGGTAGCAGGCTTACCTGGCAGGGGGTGGTGCCTGGTGTTGCCCCACGCTTGGGCACGGCCACCTGCTGGCTTTGTCTGACAAGACCCAAGAGGCACACTTGTCTGTGTTGGGTGCTCAGAAGACATCTGCCTGCCTGTCGCTGCCCCTGGCTCTGCCAGAGCTGGGCTCGACTCCAGAAAGGATGCAGTGGGAGTGGACTGGGGAAGTTCTGATTGTCTGGGTGGCAGAGTCACTGAAGCCCACCCAGGGACTCAGGAGAAGTATCTCAACAGATGGCGTGATACAGTTCACTCCACAGTTGGCACATGGTCGCTAGTGCCCACTGTGTGCCCAGACCTGTGCTGGGTTTGAGGGATGAAGTCACAACCTCTCTGTCTTCCTGGAGACAAAGCCCAGAACTCACAAATCTGCCTCCTGGATTCCCCCTCTACCCCACCTGTACTTCAGGAAGCAGTGGTATTTGGGTTCACAGCTATCTTCCGAGAAAAAGGGCTGTTAACACCCGCGTGCTATGATAAGACGTTAGCAAAATGCAACATGCCTAATGTTAGTCTATTTGTTTTGAAAAGTTCCCAGAGAAACGCTATTCCTCATTTGGGTCTAAAGCTTCCTTTCTTGCTCCTTGAATTTTTGGCACTTCTCTGGTATCAGCCAAAGTCCCAGGGAACTGGAAATTCAAACATCAGTTCTACCACCAATTCAACAAATATATACAGATTGCCTAACTCATGCCAGGCACCATGCAAGGCGCTGGAGACTCAGTCATGCACAAGACCGGAGAGGCCCCAGTAGGACCGTTCTCTGGTTGAGGGGATGTGCTCCGGGGAGGCTTCTGGCCTCCGCATCCAGACATTGTCCCCCTCCTCCAGCCTCCAGAGGCCAGACCTGGCAGAGCCAGCACCACTGCCATGTCTGACTCCAAAAGCCTGAGAATCTGCCAGCCTGTTGTTTTTCAGAGGCTTAGGGACTGGGCTTGGCTTGTCCAAGAGGAAAGCCTTCCTGCACGGCTATGGAGCCTGCCAAGTTAGCCGCTTATCTCTCCAGGACAGGTCTTTTTTTGTTCTGTCTGCTGCACGTTAGGCCCTGCCAAGGGTGTGGCCTGTGTGGCCTTGGCAGCAGCCTCCTCAGAAAAGGGCAAAAGAAGGAAAGGACAAGGGATTCTCCAGAGCCTATGGGTCAGGGCTGGGGATGGTCCAAGTGCAGAGGAAGAGAAATTTTCTTCCGTGGCCTTGTTCTCTCATGGGGTCCTTCTCTCCCCATCTTGGCCACCCCCAGGCTTTGTAACATTCTGTCCCCTTCCTCAGAATAAAGCCATAAACTTTCAAGGAGCTTATAGGCTTGTTAATTTATTGGATCCCTTGGTTCTTAGCACAGTGCTCTGCCAGTAATAAGTTTGGTTGTTTGAATATGTGAATCACTCAGCAATCAATTGATGAAGGAATGAATAAATTAAGCCTTTATATTAGATTACAATCAAATTAAAGTGGTCAAAAGCTAATTCAAATCTAGTTAAATGAGGTAGCCCAAGCTAATGGAGATCACTTGACGTGAGAAACCCAGACCTCTCAAATTTCATGTCCAGATTTAAAAATATGCACGTGCAAAACAGGTGTCGACTCTTCCCCAGGTGATGCCATACAACCACAGTATCAAGAACCAATCAATTTGAAGTTGACTGGGAGCATTTGAGATCATATAACCTGCCCCCTGCCCAGTACTGGGATTCCCTCTCTAGTATATCTCTGTCTTATATCCTTGATCTTCCACAGTGGCTATCCAAGCCTTAATGACATGTGAAATAAGTCCAAATCCCAGAGAGTGGCCATACGTAGACACCCCACCTTGTCTTTGCTCCCTCAGAGCAACCACAGTTTAAAGAATGAACCAAACCCAAAGCTGGACTAGCCCCTCCCGATGACTAACCATGACCAAGGCTGTTGAGACTTTGTGCTTCATCGCTGACCATTAAACATGGTCAATCATCTCTGCCCCTCTGGATGTCATAGGAACATGGATGGATGGATGAAATCTCTGCCAAGTATTTCAAGAGATGGATCACAAAAGTTATGCCACATTCTTTTTCTCTTAATATTTAAGAGCATGAGCTTTGAGCCAAACAGACCCAGGCTTTTTTAATTTATTTTTTTAATTGAGATATAACTGACATACAACATTATGTTAGTTGCAGGTGTAGACAGACCCAGGTTTTAAATCTCAACTTTGTCCCTGCATGTCAGTAAGCAAGTTCTTTAACCTCTCTGTGTCTGTTTATTCATCTATAAAATTAAGTTATTACTGGTACCTCTCTCACTGAGTCATTGTCATGCCTAGAAAGTAGCCAGCACACTGTAAGTGTTCAATGTTCACTATTATTTTTAACTATGTTATTTTGCAAGTCACACAGAAAATTTGAGCTCTCATAGCTGTCAAAGAAATAGTCCAATAAGATGATGACTCCATTTGTAAATTGGCTTACACTCACCCCCAAAATAATCCAGGATTATTTGAAATTTAACTAAATATCCTAAGCACTTTCCCCCTGGAGAAAAGAATGAGTCACAGTACTGCGATGTATAAACTCAGAACCTAACAGAGTGCTGCAGCCAGCAGGCTCCCCTTCCCCTGTCCTGCCCCCAGTCCCCTCCACAGCCTCTCCTGCTCTTCAAAAGCCCCAGGGGAGGCGATTCATCAAATCTTCTGGCTTGCCCAGGCCAGCAAGCCACCACCCTTATTCTTCCAGGGTCTAACTTAAATGCTTTCTGACTCCTTTTCATGAGATCAGTGTAATTGAGGTTGGCAGGGCCTCACCCACCAGTCTACCATCACCATGGCACCCACCCCTCTTGGATCTGAAGGCTCCTTTAAACATGAAAAATTACGTTGACCTTCACATATGTCAGAACTTATACTTTCAGGGTTCTTTGAGAACATATATTTTTACTCTGAATTCAGCAGTACTTTTAAACAAAATTGCATCTTATAATCACATACATATGGAGACAGTAATACACGACATGAGAGACATATTCTTTATCCCATCTACAGACATTCATTCCCATTCAGGTGCTTGGAACCCTTGTAGTAATACAACAGCCACCCTAACTGAGGCTTTTCAGCCTAGGGTCTCAAACTCCTGCCATCCAACCTCTTCTGCTGTGGGACAGCTCTGTCCCTTAGACAGAGTCCATCCTGGCAGGCCATCAATGGATGTGACCTGGACTGAAAGGTGTTTGCTCTCGTCTGGCCTTCCAACCTAACTCACACAAACTTCCCTGGCTTCTGAATGACAACTCTTCCAGTATTAGAAAATACTGTTGTATTTCCAAAAGCTGTTCACATTAAATATACTCCGTTGCTTCTCCCAGATGGTTTCCAGGACTCTTCACTCCATTTTATTCATGCACTTCTTAAAATCATGGTACCTGATTAAGACATGGTATTCAGAAGTAGTGTGATGTACAGCAAGCTACCAGGAGGACCCTAACTCTCTGTGATGTGGACACCGTGGTCAAGATTCTATCCCCTTCTATAGCTCTTGGCATATGTCAATCTGACAGGGACTTTACCCTGTAAATCAGGCAGTTCTGGGCTTGAATCCTGGCTCAGCCTCTTACTTGCTTAACTGTGTGATCTTAGACAAGTTACCAAACCTCCCCAAAACTAAGGTTCCTCATCTTTAAAATAAAAATAATAGCAGATGAATTTTCCATAGCTGTGTGAGAATTGAATTAAACAATGTATTACAAACACTAAGAATGGTACCTAGACATAGTTCTCAGGATACATTAGCTATTATTTTGTATGTGTCATTTTGTGTCACTTTAGGATGTGCTTCTGTCCTAACATGAGGATAGGGCCTCTTCTGTTGCTCTGGAAAAAATCACAGGTTTTCCTCAATGAATTGATCCAGTGACAACCCAAACACCCCATTTTCTTCATCATATTCTTGACTTAATGTCCTCCCTCTTCCACAGATGCAAAACACCAGCCCTGATCAGCCTGCCCTGGCTCTCCCAATTCATGTAACAAATAGTACTAACCAAGTACTTTCTAGGCACCAGGAATGCAATAGTGAACAAAACAGATAAACCCCCTGCTCTTCTAGAGCTCATGCCAGTATGAGATAGACAATAAAGAAATACAAGTCAGGTCAGGCAGTGAAAGATGTCATGAAATAAATGCAGCAGGAAGAGGGGGTAGACATAACAAGGAGGGAGGTCTAAGTGGACCTGAGCAGATATCTGAATGAGTGAAGGAGCAAGGCCTGCAGACATCTGGGTAAAGGTGGCCTGGGCAGAGGTAACCTCAAGTGCAAAGGCCCTGAGGCAGAGTGTGAGGAGTGTCTGGGGAACAGCATGGTGCCAGCACAGCTGAAGCACACTGGGGGAGGAATAGAAGCAGCCCAGGTGAGGTCTGAGAGAGCTGGGAGACAGATCACACAAGACTTTGAGACGCTGAATAAGACAGGCTTTTACTCTGAGAGGCAAAGCCACTGAAGGGTTTCAACCAAGGTGAGACATGAGACGACTACTAAACGGATGAGTGTAGAGGACAGATTATAGAGATCAAGAGGAAAACATGTTGTGACCCATTCCCTCTCCCTTACCTTCCAGGACAGAAACTTGCCTTCTGCTTATAAACAACTCACGTCCCTGTCCGGCTGTAAGGATAAAGTGAAGGAACAGCAGCCACAAAACCCTCTCGGAGAAGATAAACAGGACAAACTGAAGGGCGGGCCACCCTGAATAACTTTGTATTAATGTAAGATTTCTCTGTGTGATAAGAGCTCTCCACCATGTTTGTGCTGAACTGTTTGTCTGGTGGACCTC